TGATTGGCAGTGCGTCCGCTCATACACGCGTTGCGCCAGGTTTGACGTAAGACCTCAAACCCCATTGGTTCTCGCATTTCACGTGACCGACCTAGCCGCGCCATATTTGAATATACTCGGGCGGGAAAAAAATTCGACAGCGTGGTCAACGGAAGGAGTATTTTCAGTGTATACCAACTCTTATATTTACTCGCTACACAAACCTACTTTGTTTTAAAATGGATATTCTGAAAATCATCGACTCGAGGGTGTGAGTAAATTACATCATTATTTCATTATTTTGCAAATTACATTTTTATTTCAGGTATTTATTTATTTAAACATAGATAAATATTTGACCAGTGTGCAAATGTTAGATGAAGCTGTACGCTGACTGTCAGTAAAGCTGACTGCAGTGCCATAACAGAAGGACTGGTAAAGCACAATAGTCTGTGCAGCTCTTAAGGTTGAGTTGTAATATGTGAAGAATGAAGTCACTCAGTCATTTCTACTTGTTTATGAACGCTGTCGTAATCGTCACATGAGAGATACAGATTTGATTAGAAAAAAAAAAAAAAACAGAGCACGAGAAATTAATTTTGTCCACGAGAGGGCAGCCTTAAACAGGCTTGACCCAACATGTCAAATGACTAAATCTGGATGGAAATAGTGTGTTCACAGTGGGTTGTCTCTCTGGTTGGTCTCAGAAACATGTACCCCTAACTATGAGGGGAGATCTTCATCCTCCTCTCAGCTCCAGAGCACAGCATCAAAGACACCTTTCATCCTTCATCTGCACACCTCTGATCTCAGGCATATCAAGTGTTCCTGTTACCGTCCATATTTATTTTCTGGTTCAGGGTCAGGTTGCCATCATGGTTCATACGGTATATTTTCAGACTTAATTTTGAATTGGTTCTTGGTCCGATGCAGTGAGTTAGTGATCACTTTATAGGAGGTCCAGTTCAAGCATTTCTCACGGTTTTAAATTGTGGGAATTGTGTTATAGAGGTGTAAAATGAATGCACATGAAGAACAGTTGATTAAAAATGTCATAAATATTTACATTTGAAAAAAGAGGGCACAGTAGACACACCACTTGCTGTAACGCATCTGCAAAGTTTATTGACACAGTCATATTTGACTCAGACATAACAAAGCTTCATAAACTGATCACAGACTTAAAGAAGAAAACAAATCTGAACATGGGTTTGAGTCAAAAACTGAATGCCACAATAAGCTGAGACATTTCTCGTGACTAAATCACTACTGACCTCATGGACTCTATGAATCAATGATTCAATTAACAGCCCTTGAATGAACCCTAGCTGGGAAAGATGAATCATACCTCTTTGATTCAATATTAGATTGGTCCCGCTGTTCACCAATGGGTAATGAGTGAAGGAAACACACTGGAAACAACAATTACAAGAATAAAGAAAAGCAATTCCAATCATTTCTTGAAACATGTATATATAATAAGATAAAAAAGCTTCTGTTTTCACCACCATTGAAAAAATATTCAGATTTTATCAACATTGAAATTGAAATTATTTAAGGTTGGGGTGATAATTTATGCAATCCCTGATCCCATTTGTGGTTACTTCACAAAACATCAAAACTTATTTTTTTCCTGAAACAAACAAAATTATTGGCCAGTGTGCGAATATGGCTGTTTTCATTATATCTAGAGCTTTGATTAAAAATAATTCAAAACAGGAAAGGTAAATGACATCCGATTCACACACCGTACTCTACACACGGTACATAAATAAAGTACATTACAGGGTCGACAACAATCAAAAGTGATTCCAACTGTGGCGTGTCGGTAAGGACAGAAACACAATGATTGCCCTTATATTACACCCTAAACTGTGCAAAAGTCATACGTTACAAAACTGGGTGGAAAGAAAAATAAATTCGGGGGAATATTGATGATCTTTTAGAGTGACTGAAATTTACAGAAAAAGTGCAAAGAGTTTTTTCATGAAAAACTTGGGTCAATTTGTCTTCCAAAAATCTTAATGAAAGCTCTAAACACAAATATTGGGCCTTCAGGACATTTCCAGAACTGTATGAACTTTTAGCAAACTCAGTTCGGTAGAACAACCATAAATAGACACCTCCGAACAAAATATGTTGCCAATCATAAAACACCTGATATCAAAGGGAGAGTTCATAATCTTTCGTTTATCTTGTTCCCAACAAAATCTGGTTCTGATTGTTTACTGTGAAGCCCCTGGTGGGTGTACTGCTCAGTTCAGCATGTTGGGTACAAGAAAACCAGCACAAAATTCAAGAAACACACTTCCGTATAAACCACAGAGGACTGACAAGCAAACTGTACAATCATAATTTTCAGTCCAATAATTAAAACAAGAGGGAAAAAACAATAATAAAAACAAAGCTATAGCAACACCTCAGATACAGCTATTCTAATAGGTTCCTCTAATGAACATAAATTAACATTCAAAAGTGAATCACCACTCCAAACAATAGAGTAAAACTCTGAACTGAATTTCCTGTCAAGAGTGACAGGACATTTTCTCGACATGGTGTTAGCATTGCCTGAAGGAGAGCTGGCTAATACTAATAGCAGCATGAATTTAAGCGCCAGTCATCACGATTGCTTTACACAAGCTAACTTGCTAATTATGAACAATATTAGCCTGCCGTCCATTGTAGTTCACTGAAATTGCTCTTGAGTCGTTTTAACATCCACATCCACACGCACACACAAATGCACATAATCATGTCCTCTTTTGCTTATTTCCCATAAATTGTAAAATATGATCTGGATTTTTATAAAACTGAGACTTTTCCAGCTGTTGATGTGGATCATAGATTGTGTGGGATATTGAAGTGACGTTTGTAGGGGATCTAGAACCAAAAATCAAACCTGCTACTGCTGTCCGCTGACCTGGATATTATTATTTTTTATTTTAAATCAAATTAAATGAACAGTACTATACATACTACTCTAAATACAATTTCGACTATATACCATTATTATTATTATTATTTTTCAGTATGCAGACTATGCACCTCAATGGACATTTTTTTTTATTTAGAGGGAATATTTGCTTAATTGTCATGAATAATGTCAATGCAAATATTAAATATTTAATTGTCTTGAAAACAAAATGCAATTTCTTTTTTTTTTTTTTTCTTTTTGAGGTGAAATATGACAGACATATTCTTGGCAGGCTTTGTGAGATTCATCTAAGCATTTCACCTTTACAATATAAAACTGTATTAACTTCATCAATCTCTCAGTGAGATAAGGGATGTAGTTCACCTCTCAATGGTCCTGTCTCCTAGAACATCCAATCAACTATGTTTTACAGCAACAAGACTTTCTATACCTTAATTGTCCTTAATAAATAACCCTGAGAAGCTGTTTGGACACAGTTTGTAAAGATCCAAAAGAGACCTCTCCTGTCAAATGCTACTTTTAAAGGGGTCATGAACTGAGAAATCAAAATTCCCTTGATCTTTTGACATATAAGAGGTCATCGTACTATAAAAACATCTTGTAAGTTTCAGAACTCAAAACTTTCTCATTAGTCTAAAAACAGCTTATATTGAAGCCAATCTGCCAAAACGACAGCTTGAGGAATGTGCTGCTCTATGACATAATAAAGCGGGTAAACCCCGCCTCCACAAAAGAAGATCAACGCCTGCTTCCACATCACTGCCTGTTTAGCTCCGCCCACTGATTCGCACACGTATTGTAAATAACGAGAGAGACGAACGCAGGTCTACACAGAAACCAAACAATAAAGATGGCTCCGAAGACAACAAGACGCTGTGCAGTGCCAAATTGTGGACAAACACAGTCATTGCATAACCTTCCATCGGATCCCAGCATTAGGAAAGAGTGGATTAGCTTTATTTTTAATGAAGTTCCAGACTGCGTCAGTAAAAGGTTGGTCGTTTGTTCACTTCATTTCACCGCGGATTCGTTTACAAACAAGGCACAATTAGACGCCGGACTTGCTGAACGATTGAAACTAAAAGACGATGCTGTGCGACTATATTGGATCCAACATAGTCGCACCACACAAGTGTGAGTAACTGTTTTTATTACGTGATCACTATTGCTTTGTCTGTTATTACAGATCGTTTGATATGAACTGAGTATTTATGTGTTTTTTACCTAAATCACAGCAGCGTCCATCTATGAAGGATGTAGCTGTCAAACATACACAACTGTTAGCCAATCATAGTAGTGGGCGTTTACTTCTGAGTCTACAATCCGCCACGCCTATTCAAACAGAGCGTTCTGATGAGGGGGGTCAAAACTGGACAGAAAATAGCCTATTACTGCTAAAATATTATGTTTTTTTGATGTAAAAATCTTGAAACAGTACAAAAAAAAAAAAAAAAAGACAGTTCATGACCCCTTTAATATGATTTTGGCTTTGGGGGTGAGTCAAAAAGAAATTGATAATCTTTTTGATAATCAGCTTTTTTTCTTTCTCCGCACCAGCAGGAACACTGAGCCAGCCTTTTTTCCAAACATATTCCATTCCAATTTGCTATTTCATCAGTGGCTTGCACTCACTATTATCCCCATACACACCATTTTTGGCCTACAGAAACTGTCGGCGGTGGGGTGCTGGGAGAAATATGGATTAAATGGGCAAATCAAATATCCTCTCAGCACAAATGACTCTTTCATTGGTTAATGCCTCAAGGCTGTTTTCCTTCTTCCTAGATTTTGCTCTCCATGGCAACATTGCAATTGCTTTAGCAAAAAACCCAGAGTGTGCGTGTTCCGATCGACAGTCAAGAACAAGTTCACAGTAAATCAAGGTTTGATTAGGCCAACATGTTTTGGGGTCGTGAGATGAGGTGCTCTATTTAACCACACTTCTCTATGGCGATTACATTTCCCAGCACCGTTGGATCAATTAAGATATTCAATATTAATGTTCTTTAAATGAGTTGTTATATAACTGTATATATGTATATCTGCCACATGACTCATTGGTTAATCATTCCTGTGTATTTTTATAACAAATTATATCTCTTTAATTACACCACAATGTCCTGCTTGTAGAATGCACGCATAAGCGAAATTATAGCGGACCATTAGCTGACTTCACCTGCTACCTGCCAAAGCTTCATATTACATTACGAAACACATGATCAAATAGTCATCAATGCACAAAGACCTCCATATCAACTCACTTTAGAGCATGTAATAAAGGCAAGCTTTTGGTTACACAATTAGCATGAAATAGTGAGGTATGAAAAGCACTGTTCCTTATTATCTGTATTTCTGTCTCAGCCCAGCACAGACAAAAATTGTGAAACACTGAAACACTTTTGTATGAATTTCAATGGTGAAAGTGCTTTAGCTGATTTGACTAGAGAGGACAGCAGAAGGAAAAAATAACACTGTAACACCCCCTATTGAATATGAGTCCAGCTTTAAAGGATATGCAGCTATGCTATGAATGAGAGTCTATTATGCAGTCTATTATGGCTCACAGAGAAGGTAGAAGAAATGGGAGATGTGCAACCTTGATTATCTCCTGTGTCACCTGAAATGTCCTGAATTCGATGAGATACTGTCTATGATTTTTGTGTTACGTCAGTTGAAAAGCCAGATGCTTCTAAAAAGCAGCAACATCACTGGTTACCATAGCAACAGAGACTTAAGCATGAAATACCAAAGACCTTTGTGAATGGATGCCTGAGCCTTGAAGGTTCAAGGGGTTCAAAAGTCATCGCCATGGGAACAGAGACCCATGCAGTGCCAGAGCAAGTCCCTGAACTGTGACACCAACCCTCTCTTGAAACAGAGATCTATTAGAGATCCTTAATGGCCCTTATGAGACTTGGGTTTGGGGAGTGAGGCCCCCCCCTAAGTGCTCCGGTAGGTCTTAATAATGTCTTTGATAGCTCTCCTACAGATAGGACAGCTAGCGTTGGCCATTTTTTTGAGGCGGAGACCGCAGGTGTAGCAGAGACACATGTGTCCGCAGGCGTAGATGACGGTGTCCACTGTGTTTTCATAGCAGATAGAACACTCATCCGGCCATGAGCCTGAGGCAGATGGGAAAGTGGGGGATTTAGGGAGACTGACGGGTGAGTTGGGTGTTGTTCCTGTGACAGAGAATGACAGAAAAAAATTGATTACCATTTATTAATTTATAATTATAGCAGTTACTTCAGGCAAGTAGATCCCATAAGGCTTTCAAGACAACAAAGGATGCAGCAGTGACATAAAAAATGGTCCAAAATAATCCAAGTCTTCTAGGCCATAAGAAAGCTTTGTGTGAGAAAAAGACCAAAATACAGTGCCATCTTTATCATAAAATCTTAAAATGATCTTAACTTCATGCTTATAAATGACAAATGCTACTTAAAATGTGCACATTTGTTTTTCCAGGAAATCCTAAAATGCAATATATGTATGAAAAGACATGCAGACCTTCAGTGGAGCTGCAGAAGGCAGCAGAACAGCCACGTTCATTAAGACTGGGCTCTGGACTTCCATTGCACAGGCCTGAGGGTGAAAGGGGCGAGGCAGAGGGTGAGCCAGGGCTGGACGGGTCACGAGCATCACCCAAGAAAGTGGAGCCTGAAAATACACATAGTATATAAACAGGTGACATTTTTAATGTGATTCATTAAATTTATTTTGTTATAAATAATGTTAAATAACTATGTAAATGGTTCGCAGGGCCAAACTTTTGACTATGATTGTGATGGCACAAACTTTCCAGTGCAACCCTGTACCTTTAAACATGACTTCTGGCCTGTAGAACTGTGCTTACCGAGTCAAATATTGTGTAAAGCCAATCAAATCAGAGATTGCTGTAAAAAGTTTTGCATGTTTTGTGTAATATATATATCAGATGGTCAATGAACATTGAGCATTTCAAAATGATCTTTCAAGGAGCTGTAGCCTATAATAGAAACTTCAAAAAAGCTGTTATTGTAACTGTCACCCTCTTTTCAGAACTATATAGTATTGTGTAATGGCACAGATGCTGCATTTGTGAATGTTATGGGGGTGCTTGTTTAGTTAACAGATCCGACACTCAGGCAACCAAACGAGAAAGCCACCTTGCATTTTAACTAACAGACCTAATCTATACAGCTTGAATAAAATGGAACGGCAATTTGCTCAGTGAGAGATCACCATTTGGAGCATTTATTGATTTATTCACTGAACTGCAAATAAATTCAGCCTATTTACTGATTGGTTGCTCATATAGCAACATGTAGTGAAAAATACATATTCAGTTTTGTACAAAACAGTACTTTAATATAAGGAAATTTTTTTTTGATATGGATTGTTTTGTTACAATACATGATTAAATATGGTGTATGTGACCAATTATTGGAGGGGAGGGGATCTGTTTAAGTTCTAATAGAATTGTTAATGGAATCATTAGGAAAGTCATTAATTGGAATCTGAATCGGAACCAGACTCATTAATTTCCTAACAGTTTCCACCCCTAATTCTGGGGCTTTTAATGTAGTCTGTAGAGTTGAGACTGAATTAAATTGAAGAGACCTCATTTCTAGTATACTGGATCTTCTGACATATATGTGTATGTATATGAGAGGGAGAATTGGCTGAACTGAAACTAAGCTGACCTAAAATCCATGAATACATGATCCTCTGAGGCTAGTGTGTGTGTAGTGCGCATTTACTCTGGATGAGGTCTATGACAATATTAGATGCAGGGCTCGCAACATTTCAAAATCCCTGGTAGCCCTTCGGGCAGGCATTCTTCAGATTTTGGTAGCCCAAAAATGAATTTAATTAGCCCGAATAAAAGATATTGTATTTTTTCTTCAAATAACAAGTCAAGAGAGTAGGGGTGCAACGGATCACAAATCTCATGGTTCGGATTATATTACATTATCATATCACATTTTGAGTCACAGATCATACTACATAAAAAATCTGAACGAAACAAAAACAGCAGACGGGCTGAATGAGACTCAAATGTTACTCTCTGACAGCAGGTGGCGCTTAAACAGCAGGTATTTATAGGCTGCTGCCCCTTTAAGACCGAACGCACGGATCCAATTTAATGATGCACGTGCGATTTCTTTCTCCACTGTTTACGTTCAAGACATGAAAACACTTGCCGAGATAGTTATTTTGTGATAATTTTGCATGTATGTGTCTGTTCAAGCTAAAGAGGAATCAATTCTGTGTTCGTGCTCTGCCTGAAACGCCGCTCTGTGCGCGCTTTGAGCATTGAACTGAATTCTTCATGCACATGAATGGTTTAAAACGCTTCAATGTTTAAATTGGTAAGACTTAGTAACACGTGTAAATGATAAACTATGATCCGTTTCACCCCTACAAGCGAGTGAACAACGCGAATCAAGGAAGGGATTTTATATCACTATTCAAGATAGCCTGTCAGGCAGGGCAGTGATATATTTTGGTAGCCCGACTGGAAAACACAATAGATTGCTAACGGTTGACTGTTACATTACAGTACATAAAATTTCACTTACCACATAAACAGAGTAAGGGGAGATGACTGAGGACGATGGCGAATGATTTGCAGATCCTGAGCACCACTGACAAACATA